ACACACACACACACACACACACACACACACACACACACACACACACAGGATTAACAGTGTGAACTGTTTTGGGCTCAGTCTACGAGCTGACGGGCTCTCTACTCTCACCGTTGGATTTGAGGAGCTTGTCGACGTCGGCCAGCAGCTGCAGCAGCCGGTGGAGGTCGTACTGGGAGGAGCAGCGCTGCAGCATCGTGAGGAGCAGCACGGAGGCCTGGCTCTCCACCCACTGCAGGGGGAGTCCACCGGGGGGCGCCGGGCCTCCGTTTCTCAGCTGTATCGGTAAAGTAGAAGAGAAAAGAAGGAGAGCGTTTGCTTATCGATCGTCGTTCTGGTCAGGTTTACCAACTACACAAAGTGTGACACCACCAAGAAAGGAGTTTTAAAAACCTGCTGAGCACTGCGCAACATGTGTCATGGCTCTGTTGTGTGTATATCAACAGATATGAACGTCTGTTATTGGTGTGATGCCTTACAGTGATCAGCGTCCTCTGGAAGTCTAGCAGCTTGGCTTTGGCCTCAGAGAAGTTCCTGTAGTCACAACACAACTCAAACATCCTCAGCACCAACACCAGAGGACAGTCCTGAGACACACAGAAGCATCTGTTAGTGATCTGTTTGTTGAAGTCAGTCAAGAAAAGTCATTTTGATTTCTTTTGACTCTCTGATCTCATAACTCTTTTCATCTCGTCTCAGGTTTTTTACCCGCTGGAAGAGCTCGAAGCCTCGTAGGAGGGGCCTGACGTGGCCCCGCCCCAGCAGCGTCCTCCAGATGATTGACAGGTCGTGTAGTGTCCACTCGTGGTGCTCGGGGGCTTCGGCCAGGTGGGCGGCGGCTTCTCCAGCTGTGACGTCATCGACGGAGGTCAACAACCACACACAGAGGCACGGCAGTAGCTCCGCCCCCTGTCGGAGCGTGACGGGGTTAATGAGTGATTAGCATCTCTAATGATCACATTTATGATCATGTGACCAAGCAGAATGTTAAAAACTCTGAATGTGTAACTCTATTGTCCAGGGATCGCTGTGTGTATTTCGTCCCGTTACCTGTTGACAAGCGGCCATTACAGCCAGCGTTGGGCAGCGTTGCACCAGCGCCTCCTGCAGCAGGTACCTGCAGGGCGCCGCCTCCTCCTGGCTCTGCAGGAGGGCCTGGAACAGCTCCCTGGGGCGCTCCGGGCTCCCGGGGTGCTCCGGGCTCCCGGGGGCCTCCTCTGCGTTCAGGGACACGGGCTGCTCCTCAGAGCCACGGGGCCACCTCCTCTGGCTGCACACCTGCAGGTCCTGAAACGCCAGACTCAGGTGGGCCTGCAGGGTGGGGCCAAACTGAGCTGTCAGTGACTTCACCTGGTGGAGGAACAAAATATGGTCAGAGGAAGGAGCTCGACACGAAAAGAGAAATAACACAACAGTAGAAATAACATCCAAAACATGCAACGACTGAGGTGTGCGTTCACCTGCTGGGGCGGGAAGCTGTGCAGCTGGACAAAACACAGGAAGTGGATGAACTGTCCGTCATCGGTGCAGTGGGCGGGGTAAACAGAGCTGAGCTTCAGACTGTGGAGCTGACAGAACTGAACAGGCAACGCCCACTCCTGAGCCGCCTCGTAGGACGACCTGCAGGAACACACACACACACACACACACACACACACACACACACACACACACACTATGCGTAACCTTCTATGTGCGACCCTCACAACAATCAACACTGTGAGAAGTCTGGAACGTAGAGACGCATGTTTACCTGCTGATGCCCTTCTGCTCCAGGCTGTCTGTCACTGCAGCTTCCAGGTAGCCAATCAGCTCGTCTGCTGCTCCAGGCTCCGCCTCCGCCAGCTTTACGCCTTTAGACGCTGAAAAGACACAAATCAGTGTGTTTACCAGTGTGTAGATGTTGTGTTGTGTGTAGTTACTGTGTGTGTGTGTATCCAGAGTGTGTAGCTGCTGTGTGTTGTGTGTAGTTGCTGTGTGTGTGTGT